TGGGCTTTAAGAACAGCGTGAGCTTGGCCCAACATGTTCACAGGGCCATGGTGAGACGAGCTGGGGAGCAAATTGGGGGGGGGCTCAAGCCAGAACAAGAGGTGCGAAAGGATCGACCTTTTTCTTCTGCTACCACATTGCATTGGGTATACCTGGACAATTTCGACTCGCTGGAGAAGATGGACAAGCGCACCGCTGAACTCCTAAGAGGGGAGCCAAGTGCCAGTATCCTGGCACTCCGGTCAGAGTATGAGAGATGGGGAGTCCCTCGCCATCCAAAGAAAGGCGTTGCACGCTCGTTGAAGGCCGAGGTACAGGGTGCTATTATTGATGGAGTGAGGGGAATTGCCTATCCCAAACCTCTCAAGGTGCTCAAGTACGCTCAGCTTGCCAGTCTCCTGTTGGGGGAGAAGAGGTGCAGCCAAAAGCAGGTTCAAGTGGTTGCTGGAGGCCTGGTATACATGAGCATGTTCCGAAGGCCTCTCCTGGGATCCCTGAACGCGGTGTGGCGATTCATCGAGGAGTTCAAGCACTACCCGCCGGTGATCAAGCTAGAAATACCCCAGGAGGTGAAGCTTGAGATTGCAAGGTTTGTTGCATTGGCCCCGCTGGCGCAAATGGACTTCAGGTTGGAGGTGAGCTCAGAGGTCACCGCCAGTGATGCTTCTACTACGGGCGGGGGCTTGACTCGAAGTGTTGGTCTGACAGGATTCGGAGAGGCGGCATCACGGGCAAGCGTTCGAGGAGACGTCGCAGAGCCATCTGATGTATGTTCGGTCCTCACGATTGGTCTTTTTGATGGAATCGGAGCATTGCGAGTAGCAGCGGACGCTTGCGGTTTCCCCGTCCTGGGTCACATCAGTGTAGAGGTAAAGAAGGAGGCAAGCCGCGTTCTCGAGAGCAAGTTCCCGGCGACAGAGTTCATTGAAGGAGGAGTGGAGGCAGTTGACGAGGAGATGGTCAGGGGCTGGGCGGCGAAGTTCTCACAAGCATCGCTCGTTTTACTGGGAGCTGGACCTCCGTGTCAAGGTGTGAGTGGTTTGAACAGTGAGCGACGTGGTGCCTTGCGAGATCACAGGAGCTGCCTATTCAGCCATGTCCGACGCATCAAAGAGCTGCTTAAGGTGCATTTTCCTTGGGCGCAGGTCAGGTACCTAGCAGAGAGTGTGGCCTCAATGGACCGAAAGGACCGTGAAGTCATGTCACAAGATTTCGGTGACACCCCAGTGAAGATTGAGGCCAGTGGTGTTTCGCTAGCTCGTCGTCCCCGACTGTACTGGTTGGACTGGGAATTGAGGCCTGGACCTGGGGTTCGCATGCATCCTAAAGTTGATCAGGGGATGGCGGCCTTTCAGGAAGTGGAACTCGCAGCGGAGATCGACCCAAAGGACTTCCTGTCGGCAGGTTGCGTGAAAGTCTCTGAGGAGCCTTTCCCTACTTTTACAACGGCAAGGCCAAGGACTCATCCCGGTCGTCGACCGGCTGGTTTGGAGAAGCTCAGCCCAGAAGAGAAGGAATCATGGGAGGCAGACAAATTCCGCTTTCCCCCATACCAATATGCTCATCGCTTGCTGGTGAAAGAAGGCAATGGCAAATGCCGAATTCCGTCAGTGCGTGAGAGAGAAGCAATCATGGGGTTTCCTCGGGATTATACTGTGCAATGCATGTCAAAGCAACATCATGGAAGTGAGGCACATGAGGACGAGAGGAAGAGCTTGATTGGCAACAGTTGGAATGTGACTGTCGTGGTTTGGTTGCTCGCCCAACTGGGCCAGCAACTTGGGCTATGCCCCTCCAAAAGCCCACAAGAAGCGGTCGAGGCTACAAAACCTGGTGCCGCAACCACCTTGGGAGGGATGCTACAACGTCAGGCCATGAAGCGAATCAAGAAGGCAGGTACAGAAGGGGAGTACGAGCTGGTCTCAAAACTCCTGAACCTGGTCAGCCTGAAGGGCGAAGACATCATGATTCAAGCGCCAAGCGAAGAGTCTCTCCGATACCATAGGTTGCGTGCGAGCTTACCATCCAGCTTGTGGCAGTGGAAGACGGTTATGGGATGGTCATGGAAAGGCTCTCCGGAACACATCAATGTCTTGGAGATGCGGGCCGTTCTTACCTCGCTTCGCTGGCGGATCGTGAAGAAGAAGGCTCTACGCACAAAATTCGTGCATATGGTGGATAGTTTGGTGTGCCTCCACTCCTTGTCGAGAGGCCGCAGCAGCAGCCGCAAACTTCGTCGCACTATGAGTCGGATAAATGCTTTGCTCCTTGCCAGTGGCTCACACGGAGTGTGGGCGTATGTTCACACAAAGGAAAACCCGGCCGATGGGCCGTCGAGGCACCCCGTTAAGAAGAAATGGTGAGCCACAGCAAAGTACACATAGAGGGCAAAGACAAAGCATCGCGGCAGCAGCAGCGACTAGCATTGGGGCCGCTACGCAATTTGGCTGTCCAACCAGCCACCAGAGCACGATATGATAAAGCGCTTGAGAAATTCCGTACCTACCTTCGTGAGGAAAGTCGTAGATTTCCAGATGACCCTCCCACGCTTGACTTCTGGCTTAGTCACTACATAGAATTCCTCTGGGAAAGTGGAGAAGGCCGCGCCCTTGCTTGTGACTCCATAGCAGCAGTTCAAGACTACAAACCCTCAGTCAAGGGGAGGTTGCCATCCTCCTGGAGGCTGATGAAGACATGGTCCTCCACCGAGATTCCAAGTCGAGCTCCGCCCCTACCTACAGAAGCCTTAGATATCTTGATTGGCTACAGCCTGTTCAAGAAGGACGACTTGTTTGCTCTTTCTCTGTTACTTGGCTTCCATGGACTCCTGCGGACAGGGGAGTTGTTGGGCGTTAAAAAGAGCCACATAGAGCAGAAAGGCCCGAGGAGTGTCGCGGTCATTTCCCTGGGAATGACGAAAGGTGGTCGTCGTCAAGGCGCTGCTGAAAGCGTGACCATTCGGGAGGAGGATACCCTGAGACGACTCTGGCAGTGGAAGAATACCCCAAGTTCTCGACCTTCCCTATGTGAGGCGGCTCATGTCTGGAGAAAGAAATTTACTGACTACCTAGAGGCCACTGGGCTCAGTGAACACTCTTTCAGGCCCTACAGCTTGCGAAGGGGAGGTGCCACCTCCTATTTTGCAAAACACGGGTCCCTAGACAAACTGCTCATAGCAGGTCGGTGGCAGGCGGCAAAGACCGCAAGAATTTATATTAATGAGGGTCTTGCTGTACTGGCTGAGTTTCAATTGGCAACTAACGCCAAGGCCAAGGCTTTTCGACGACAATATGAGAGATCTAAATCTTTGGAGCTCCAACCCCTTGAGCATGCCCGAATGGGCAGGGCTGGGGGAACTGGAAGGAAGCGCAAGAAACCCAAGAAATGACTATATTTTTGAATTC